TTCTGTGTCTTAATCCCCTAACGGGTCAAAGACGTCGGACAGGCATGGTCGAACATTTTACCGGCGCAAAACCGTAAACATATTAGAAATTCTGCTGCTACCGACACATATTTTGAATACGAAAATAAGAAACAAGAACTTGGACTCAAATACCACAAACAGTTAGGCTTCAAGACTGTCATATTTTGGACATCAACTCAAATGACTTAAGCAAACTTGAACCCATCCAATAAATAAAATCAATGAAGCAAAAATTCAATGTCAATTTAAACATAAGAAAAAATGAACTTGCCAAAGTATTTCAATAAAATGGGACATAGGCACTTGAACTTAAACGTTGACTTGAATTTAAATGAGCTTGACGCAAGAGAAGTTTTGACTTTAAACTGTGTAATATGTACTCTGGTACTCGGAGTTGGCATTCAATGGCAACGTTGACATTGCTAGCCCGACTCAACCTGTCGGACTTGAATTGAATCCAACTTGAAACATCTTACACAAGAGTCTAGCTCTCAAATGATAATGAAATACCTGAATCTAAATGAAATAACAAAACAAATAGAACTGAAGCTCAAGGAACTGCAATTTTAGAGCAAGTGTGAGCTGAGCCTTCAAATATACATAAGACTCAAGAAATAGATAAGAGAAACGCGCTACCATGAGTATGCGTTATAACAATTTTGGCATGAATATAACTTGGTAACGGATCATCTCAATTGGGATGTTGCGAATGAGAATGAACGAAAGATATCAAGCTTAGCATTACCTACGAAGAGGTAATGTGATAAAGCATTTTCACTAATCCTCATGGCCAATTATGTAATGTGACTAAGAAATATTGCGACAATGGCCCGAACGGCCAACGAGACCCTAATATAGGATTAAGAATTGCAAATATAATCCTCAAAAACCAAGAATTCAATGATACAGCAAGTACGCTTACAAGACCTCAATCATGCGAATACAATAATATACTGGATCTTACAACAACTCTACTGAATGATCGGGTAGAGCCGAAAATTATGAAACGTAATGGGTGTCCCTCCTACACGCATATTGCGAATACTCCAACCAAACAACAATTGTCAGCTGATTGAAGAAGGCGGATAAGAGACACTGTGAGAGACGTAATAACGGTAATGAGGACGCCGCCTCCTACAAGCAAGTATGGCACACTCATCGAAGCAAACCCTGAGATTGAATAAAAAGGTAGAGAAAGCCCTGTGATTGCACAAAGGACAATGGTTAGTTCTATAAATATTTTTCAAGATCGGTCGTAGTAGCTTACAACAATCGCTCACAAAGTCAATGCACCGAGTATACTTGTAAACAGCAACATAACCTTATAAGTGTATGGCTTATCTATCCATAGTGTAGGCAATTAAAAGTATCCACCCCCACAACACAAAAAAACAAGTGCAAATACATCAAACCAACCACTGAGTGGTGTAAAGGTGGATTGCACAGGCAGAGAGGCCGGCTGGAGATCAGGCAAGGCTTCGGATGGAGGGATCTGGGAGGCGTCGGAGCTTGTTGAGTTCGGCCGGCTTTGGAGTTCGGCAGTGGAGAAGGTAATGGGTTGAGGTAGTGGCTGCTGCGGTTCCGACAGAGGGGCGACTGGGTTCGTGAGGTAGTAGCGATGGGAGCTCGATCGTGAGTGAGGGAGAGATGTCGTGTGGGTAGCTAACAGGAGAGCTTCGGTCTAGTGGGGAACGAATGAGGAGCTCGGCTTCTATTAAACGACGCAAACGAGGCGACGATCGAGGAGCTGCCGCGGGATTTAGGCAGGATTTTCCGATCGAGACATGAGCGGCGCTGAGCTACAGGATTTTACAGGATTTTTGGGCAGAACCTCGGCGAGATTTCGGCGGGTTTTGCGGCTGGATTCGAGGATCCGATGGTTGAGGTGTGAGCAGCCGGCATTGTATAACAGGTGTGTGAATTTTTTGTTGTCTTTTGGATAATGCATAATGATCAACACTCTCTCTCTCTGTGCTTGTGATCGAAAGGGTCAAAGGTAGAGAAGGGTCGGGATCGGCCATGGGGAAGAAGGGAGATCCAGCTAGGGATTGCGGTTGGATGAGCTCGCCTAGGTCGGAGAACTCAACAAGAGAAAGCAGCAACGAGATGTCTGGAGTTCGACTTTGGAGAGATCGGAATAGGCTTTGGCGTCGAAATGGAGTAGGAGTTTGCGAACTGGGAGAGAGAGAAACAGCGAAGGAGAGTTCGGGAAAGAAGCAGGTGGTTTTGTGCGTGGGAAGGGAGGAATGAGCGAGAGCTGAACGAGAGCTCACAGTTCTCGTTTTAACAATGCAAAGAGAGAAAGTCTTCGCACGCAAGCGACAAGACCATTCGACGTCGTTGCAGAGCAGAGGAATGATTACTGTAGCAGGTAGGATTTCGGCAGAGATTTTTTTTTTTTTGGGAATATTTGGGGCATCAGCCCATTTCATTAATGAAAGAAACAAATTACAATAGTAAAAAAATCATTTGCAACCAACAAAAGAGGAGCAAATGACAAAACTAACAGCCAGGCTGAAAAACAAGCAAAAACTATATGTAGAAAAGGTAAAGAAAGAAATGAAATGCAAAGGACTCAGCACAATCCCAAAGAATCCAGAGGCTAGCCAAAATCATCCAAAAGGATGAACAGATCCCCTGGTTGCCAAAAAGGCCCCGATCCAAGGCCGTCCAAGGGGAGAATAGTAGGATTGCCATCATCATCGTCCTTCAAAACGCCAGCCGCTGGTTGCCAGAATTGACCGTCCAGAGACGCCAAAAAACGGAGATTGTGAGTAGGGGCAGTCCAGCAGGCCTTCCAAACATAAGAGGCC